GTAGATATTGTGAAAGAGAAACTGCTCAAAAGGAAAGAACAAATGGGATAAGGAAAAGGAGAACAGAAAAAGAAGGAAGGAGGAAATATATATAAGATAGCTGAGATAATTGTACTACTAATTTCTATTGGTTTATTTAAAGCAACAGTTAGTGCCTCGTTGTTTGATCAATCTTGCATGCCTCTATTTGGTAATCTGAGTAAGCACTTTGAAGATAGTAATATGCAATGTAACAATTATTGTTAATTTCCTGTCATCTTGTTTTGCAGTCGTGTATCATTTTTATTGGGTTCTTTTGTTTTGTTTTTATCTTTGTTTTTGTCAGTTTTGTTCTTTTCTTTTTAAAATAAAAAATAAAAAGCAAACTATCCCTTTAAACAACTATTTACAAGTCATTTTTGCTCTGTGACATGGACATATTTTAAATGGCAGGATTTAAAAGTGAAACAAAGTGTAGTGGTAAACATTAGACTCATTTTTATTATTTTTATTTTATTTATTTTTTTTTATTTTAGGACAGGGTGTACAGGGTCTCACTGCGCAGATCCGATTCATAGTGATCCTTCTGTTTTCAGCCTCCCAAGTGCTAGGATTACAGGTGCATGCCACCACATGCAGTCTCAATTGCCATCTCATTGCCCCCCAGGGGCAGGGCCGGCACTGCAGGCCAGGGGATTGAACTCCCAGCCCCTGCATCTGCCTAAGCAGGTGCTTTAATCCACTGTAGACTCATTTTTAGAAAATACAGCCCTCTAACTCTGTAACTAGAAGAAGTTCTCGCATACTATTGTGTGCTTGAGACCTAGCCAGTGCTTGCCCATTCCTGTAAGTCTTGAGTTTTTGTCATGAGAACAGTAGCGTGGCCAGTGGGTATGTGGATTACAGGTAATGCAGAGAACTTGAAGAATAAAAATGGATGTTTCTATGCTAGAACATTTGCTACTTTTTAAAGTCAGCTTAAATGAGGTAAATTTAAGTACATTAAAAGTTACAAACTTTAAGTGTGCAGTTATATATAGTTTGACAAATGTATACAGTTGTGGAATCATCATAATCATTATACAAACATTTTTATCAAGCAGAACCTCCACCAGACCCCTTCCCTGCCTACAGGACCTGGCAACACTGATCTTTCTGTCATTCTAGTGTTTACTTTTCAAGAATGTTATGCAAATGAAGTCATAAAATATGTCTTTGGTGTCTGGCTCCTTTAAGCAGATTGCTTTTGAGGTTCATCTAGGTGTTGTATGTAACAGCAGCTGGTTCCCTTTATTGCTAGTATTCCTAGCACTCTTTTGTAAGGCTGTACCGCAATCTGTTTATCCATTTAGCAGGTGATGGGCATTTAGTTTCTTTCTAGTTTTTTCCTTGTGAATAAATCCTGCAGCCCTGTTTTAATAACTACCAAAATCATCTTTACTGCCATTGCAATTTGTAAAATAAGCCTATCTACAAACTTGGTTAAATAAGATCATCAGTGTTTTGAATGAGACTGAAAGAAAGCCATGTGGGGAAGACTGGGGTAGCTTTCCTTTAGAAGGTCCCAGATCCAGCTAGAATCATTTTCCTATGACCTGGTAGTTTTTCCCTTATGCCTTCCTATGAAGTCCCACATTTATCTTTATCCCTCCCAGTTTGAACTCCCTACAAAGGCAAGGATTATGTCTCATTTGACCCAGTGCCCAGCAATGTCTTTTACATAGTGGAATTGTGATAAATATTTAACAGATTGACATGAATTCTCTAGTCCTTTCCCTTAGATATCTAAGTGGTTTTTATTACTTCTTCTAGAGCAGTGATGGTGAATCTTTTGGAGGTGAGTGCCTAAACTGCAACCCAAAACCCACTTATTTCAAACTGCAAACACTATAATTACACCTGAATCCTGAGGTTTTAGTATAGAAAACACAACTCATACTTTAGCATCCTTTGTCTTAAAAAAAAATTAGAAAAAAAACATGGAACATGCATGCCATAGGCTCACCAACACTGCTCTGGAGTGTTATAAATAGGTTTTCCTGAGAAAAAATATTCTTGATTCTACCTTCACACTTAAAGTATTCGCTCTGTAATTGATGAGTAGATTGAAAATGCTTTATGGGCTTCAGAGATTTCAACACGGGCTGTTGTTTTTCGATTATAAAGTGAGAGCTTGATTTAAGGAAACAAATTGAGATTCCCTTTCGTTTCTAACCTTGTGAGGCTGTATAAAAAGCCAGGAAGAGCCTGCAAGGAGATTGGGCAACAGAGGAGGGAAGAGAAAGGAGAAAGGAAGAAGGAAAACAGCAATGTAGGCCGGCCAGATAGCTCAGCGGACTAAAGCGCCTACTTAGGCAGAGTGCAGTGGCCGGGTTTGTGTGCTGAGGCAGCAATTGAGACTGAGTGTAGTGGAGTGCACCTGTAATCCCAGTACTTGGGAAGGTGAAAACAGGAGAATCACTACAAATCCAATCTACGTAGTGAGACCCTGTAGACCCTGTCCTAAATGCATAAAAAAGAAAGAAAACAGTAATGTGCCATGTTTTTATGTGATGAAAATATGATACATTCTTTTAAATAGGGTAGAAATTGGGCAAGAAGTCAAGAAATGCAAGTTGAGCAGGAGATGTTAGCTTATGCCTGTAACCCCAGATACTCAGGGAGGCTACTGCAGGAAGATCAAAATTTGGGGTCAGTTTGAATAATTTGATGATTTAATGAAGTCCAGTCTCAAAATAAAAATAATAATAATAATAAATAAGAAAGGGCTGGGAATGTAGCTCAGTGCAAAGTACAAAGGCCCTGGGTACAAGTCCCAGTACTGCTAAGAAAAAATAACAAAAATACAAAACAAAGTAAAATAAACAAGAAAAAAAAATGTGTTGACATGTAACTCAGAAGCATTTCCATTGTAAAATTTGATGGCAAGATTGGCAACCCCTCAATGTTGGGGTCCTAAAAGTCCTAGTTTGTGATGGGTAGTCTCAAGTCTTAACTTTTTTTGATATAATTATTAATAATGCCTCTTTTCACACAAACACATATTGCTTTTGAACAGTGCATTTTATGATCACCCAACTATTAGGGAACTCAGAGGCCCAGGGCTCCCTTCCAGTGTCCCCTGCTCTGCCAAAGGTCTACTGAGTGAACGTCCCTAGAGCTATTCAAACTGCTTCCTCCTACAAGACAATCTCCAGCTGACAAAGCCAGGAACAAGCCCTCTTCTCTAAATGTCTGAATAATGTTTGCCTCCTTCATGTAAGAGCAGGTTCTCTAATTTCACTCAGAGGCCTCCCTCTTTAATAGCAGGGGTGTGAGAAAATCTCGCCATTTGACATTGAGTGCTCACTTTCTGTGTGTGAAGTGCTGGGCTGGGCTCAGGCCAGAACAAAACAGAGATTACAAAAGGAAGCGGACATGTGATCCAGTAACTACACAGAATCAGTGCTTCTTTTCAGGTGTGTACAATGTGTACTGAGGTCTTGGAGGGAATAATTAATTCAGGAGATGAAGGCCAGAGAAGGTTGTAGAGCTAATCCCTAGAGAAATAGTATCCATCATGCGGGGGATTGGATGATGGGCAGAGGGTATTCCAGGAGAGGAGACATGTGCAAGGATCTATAGCCAGAAAATGCCTGGTGTGATGGGGGAGGCAAAAAGTATCCTCGTCTGACTATCCATTTGTTGCAATATACTAGTTTGGAAGTAAGTGTGAGACAAGACCTTGGCCCACATCCAGGGGGTGTTGTTGTTAGAACGACCAGAAGGGACCTTATTTCACATTTAGTGTGGACCCCCGATGATTCCATTTGAGTGAGGTGTGGGTGTATTTTCATTCTAGAATTTTACACTACAACGTTACCACATGCATTGACCAATTTCAATACAGGCTTTCCTTATGTTGTTTTATAATTAGAAACCAGTGAATTGAAGTTCCACAGCGGTACATAGACTGGTAGTGATAGCTTTATGGAATTGTTTATTTTTAGTTTGGCAAAGGCTAGGCAGTAAATATCTCAATTAGTAAACTAAAGCAGCATGGATGAGAAATGCCCACAAGGAGATCAGGAGTTAGAAAAAACTATTCAGTTGAAGGAAACCCTCATGTTACTTACTTGAGAATCAACTCGTGTGAGTGTGTGTGTGTGTGTGTGTGTGTGTGTAAGCATGTGTGTCACATGTGTATCCATGAATGGCAAGATACAGTGTCAGTGTCCATGGTGCTGCCAGCAAGGAGGTATTATGCATGGCTTGGGTTCTAATTGCTTAGAAGTCCTCTCTTTAGGAACCACTGGGATTGGAAAATGGCCTGCTGAATAGGTCAACGTCCTATTGCAATAGGGTGGGATGTTATCATTGTCTATAGAAGCTCTTCACCCTGAAGTTTCTTTCAGTATGACCTAAGAGAAATTTTCTTCTGAAGTGCCAAGCTAAGTCACACATTTTAATACTTACATTCACATTATGTGTGAAAATATTTAATAAAAATATGCGTGTAGCACCATAGAATTCACTGGCCTATAGATAGTTTCCTGAAGCATATTTGAGATTCAATTTCAAATTTCAGAAGAAAATCATAAGTGGCTCTCAAAGCCTAAATTTTAAGAATGTAAATTTTACTTTAACTAGGAATTAAGTCATGTTCTTTGTACAATTCCAAGATCTTTAGGAAATATTGACCATATCAAAGATGAAAGATTAATTGGTAGCACAAAGCTATGAGAAATGTTGCAGGAAAAAAGGATATGTTTGCTTTAATACAAAAGATCACCTGTCCTGATTTTTAAATTTTAGAACTGAATTCTTCACTTCATTTGGACTCATGGTATGTATTTAACAGTGTAAGAAAAGTCCTTGGGAGTTTTCCTTCCTGGGGCTGGAGGTTGGATCTGTGCGAAGACTGTTCTTTTCTTACGCTTAACGATCTACTACCCATCAGCTCTCTGTGATCCATGGGGAAAATGATGGAGATTTGTGCATCTGCTGATTACATTTCTGTGTGTCTCCTCTCTGTTTCGCAGACTGGAAAAAGATAGCATTCAGCAGAGCCTTAGCAACGAAGCAAAGGCCCAAGCCCTTCAGGCCCAGCAAAGAGAGCAGGAGCTGACACAGAAGATACAGCAAATGGAGGCCCAGCATGACAAAACTGGTAGGTGGTAGGGAAAGATTAGAGCCTGGGCATTCGCTCACAAGCCGGGCCCACGCCTTACTGTGAAATGACATCAGGAACACCTGTAACCTTTGGCTGGCCGAAGGGAGCAGATGCTAACTACACCGGAGATTCCGAATTACATATTAGTTAGCGTTTAAAAGAGAAAATGGAAAGTATTGCCCACTGTCTGTTGATTTCAGAGTGCTGCTCTCACATCTGTTGCACCATCTGGATTATGAGTTTATTTACCTGTGTTCAAGAAACGTAAAGCTGAGAGAGACCACAACAAAGTAGAAAAACAAAGGGCTTGTTTTTGGCTGGGTTTTCAGGCACACATGTTATATAAAGAAAATAGCATCAGAAGCTCTGCGGGAAATGCTCTGAGCTTACAGTTAGAGTCTCCTGAATAGCATTGAACAGTTCCCACAGTACACACATTATAGCTACTCTAAAAGCCTAATGAGTTTGCTTCAGCATCCAAACTGGAGAAAAGCTTTAGCCATTAATCGGTTCTTAATTCACTGTCGCAGCTGGATGTAATTCAGTGGCTCCAAATTGATATGTTCCTTTATTTAATCTTTGCAGCTTCGAACATTTTTAGCATTTGTATGATTTCCCCACCTCCCCCAATCCAATCTAGAGTGATGTTTAATCCTTTGCATTCTTCAAGTTCTCACAACTGCTGTTAAAATTCACTAATACAAGGCATTGACCACAGCTGGCAGCTTGGCTAAAAATTGCCATCTTTCATCACATTGGCACTATTCTGCAGACAGAGTTGGCCAGCGACTCTTTACCTTTAATTTGAAAGTAAAATGCACTTTGAAAATAGGCAGTTTGATTTGTTCAGTCAGAGCATTATGTAGTTCCTTTCACTTTTGAGTTGTGTGTTCACAGACAGTGTTAGTCAAAACAAGACAGTGTCAGTCATTATAATTCCACACCACATACTTCATGCTGATTGTACTATTAAAACAAAAGTTTAATTGATCCTGTCTCTTCCAGAAAAATGTTGCTTAATTTTAGTGCCTTGATTTATTTTGCTTTGTATACTATGCTTTTTTGGCCATCATTAACTAAAATTGAAAGGGAATGAAGGGCCTATTAAACCTTATGCATACAGAGGTAATAGTCACCGTATTTATGTATATTGTGTTTGATGACACAGTAAAACATTATTCCTTAGTCCACAGGTGAAGAATTCACCAACATGAAATATATTAAATAATCTGTTTACTTATAAAGAAGCAAATGCCACAGTGACTCACAATTCCCTCTAGCGCTTTCAGTAGCGATTTTCTTCTCACAGCATTTGGCCAGAAGATATGAAAATTCACCAGATTCAGTAGATGTTTTTACACAAAAAGCACAAAGAACGAGTTACAGGATAAATGATTACTTTCCCCCATGCTAGCAAGAGCCCAGTGATCCAGAATCTTAGGCAGACTTAGGCAGAGCATTACATAAGAACTTTTAACTGTTAAATCACCTTATGAACGCTTTCATTTATTTTGCGTGTGCACACACACACACACACACACACACACCCCACTGCCCTCAATTTCTTTGACCAGATCTCCACTGAAGCACATGCTATTGACAAAAAGTTGCAGATTCTAAGGAAAATCATATATCCCACCTTCGTAATTAGAGAAGTGTATACAGGATTCAAGCGGGGGAGGTGCTGGTAAACTGCTCAGATGTGAAACAGAAAGCATGAATTACAGTGTAAAAGAGAATTCCTCTGTGATTTTAGTTTTGAATTATCTGGTTGTGATATTTTTGACAGTTTATAGTAAAATTGTCAAAATAAAAATATAATATCTTGCATGTTACAAAGATATAAGCATCCATGACTCCACTTGAGGTATTTGACAATTTATGAACATGGTAAACTAAAATGTTACAGCAAGCTGATATGATCAAAAATGTTGCTGGTGTATAATTCTATTAGAAAAATAAACATTTCACATGATTCTGTGTCTTACCAGATAATACCTTTAAATTAGGGTACTGAGAGTGGTCTAGTGGCTTCTAGGAAATATGTAGTGATCTAAAAGCACTTTACTGCTTTACATGTGGAAGCATTCAAAGGTACAGCAATAAACGTGATGTTGTTGGGGGTTTTTTGTTGTTCCTAGAAAATGAACAGTATTCGTTGATGACCTCCCAGAACACATTTTTGATAAAGTTAAAGGAAGAGTGCTGTTCACTAGTCAAGAAACTGGAGCAGATCTCTAAAAAAAGCAGGTAGGTGAAGTTGCACAATGCTTTCAGACCACTGTTTGGTTACTGTCATTTTTTTCTTTGAAAATCAGCATCACCAGTGTTAGAACATACTATTAAAATTAGCTACCTATAGATATATCTCCTATAAAAATATTTTCTCTGTTTTCTTATTCTCTGATATTTTCTGAACTATCTATACAAACACTTTGACATTTTTCATAATTATCTATTCATACAAGTATTTGACTGCTTTAATGTTTAGAATTGAAATACAAAGTTTCAGAATATCAAGGTTAAAGTAGTAGTTATTCTATAAAGGACACAGTAAATCAAGCAGTTTTAAAGTCTACTAGTATAGTTAACATATCTTAATCTATTAATGCAATCCTCTGTGAATGCACAAAAGTTATCTGTAGACCAAATGATTCGAGAAATTAAAGAGATAAAGGTGCTTGATACACATTACTTAATTCTCACGACGACTCAGGACAGGAATTCTTGTCTTCTTTGATAGGGAAATCAAAATACTGGTTTAAATAACTGTTGAGTCAGAGAACTACGTTTCTTACCAACGCATTTCTGGTTCCAATGTCAACAGTCTTTCTTACAGTAGTCACAATGTTTTATGTCTACTACTACGGAAAATTCAGGTCAGCTGGGTATGGTGGCAATCTTGGCAACTTGGGAGGCCAAGACAGAGGACTATTTATGCTCAGGACTTTGAAGCCAGCCTGGGCAACATAGAGAGATCCCTTCTCAGAGGAGAGAAAAGAAGAGGGACAGGGAGAGGGAGAGGAAAGGGAAGGTAGGAGAAGAAGGAGGAGGATGAAGGGAGGGAGAGAAGGAAGGAAGGAAAGAGAGAGAAAAATGAGAGAATTCAGGCAACAGTAGCAATGATAAGAACTGTTATGAAGGAAAACTTAACCTTTACATTTGTATGCAGCTGGCTTACTGGGCATTTAAGAGCTAACCTGAGGACTGGGGTTAACCTGTACTATGTGTTGCTGGGCCCCCTTTTCCTCCTCTAATATCCCCAAGGTCCTCTTCTAGAACTTACTCCCTCCTGGCCTAGTGAAATTGAACTTCAGCATATCTTCAGTTTTCCTTGCTTCTGGTTCCCCCAGCTCCTGACCACTACACGTTATAAGTGGAATTGTTGCTTTGTATTTGACATATAGGTGGCACTCAATACATATATGTTGAGTGAATGAATGAATGAATGAATGAATGAACGAATGAATGAACGAACTAAACAAACTGACTTGTCTTCTGTCAGCCTGTTCCCTTAGGGCGACAGGCAACGTGTAGGAACAGATGTTTTATAATTCAAAAAACGGTAGGTTTAGATCTTGGTTTGCCATTGAACTGTGTAGCTTGGGGCACATTGCTTGATCTCTCCTAACCTCAGCTTCTCCATCTGTAAGAATGTTACTAAAACTGTTACAGTATTATTATAGGAAAGAGAACTGCGTGTGCGGATAAGCAGACACCCAGGCATGGCTTCTTATAGCAGTGTCCCTCAGAGCCCTCCTGGACACCAAAGTCTGCAGATGCTCAACTCTGGTGTTTAAAATAAATGCAGAATACACAAATACGTAGGTCCACCGTGTGAAGCACCGGTGCAGCGCTAACCCATAGCAATACACATAGCTGCTGCCGCTGTCATTGGTTATGTGTCTTTAAGGGTTTTGACTGATCATTTGGCAGACACTTCACCAGATTCCTACTGCCTTTTCCAGGGAAGGTCTCAGTTCTGTTTTCCTCATAGACAAAGTCTACATCACAGTGAAAACCTGTTAAAGGGCAAAGCAGCCACAAGAAAGGATGGATCTGGTTATGTTGCAGGTCGCATTCTGGCACTTGGTTTGATAAATCTGATGAATTAAAATGAACACCTATTATACCTACACATTGATTCAAAGCTAAGCCCTGGCAAGTGATAAATATTTGACCAATTACTATTTTTTAAACTTTTAAGATTCTCTAAAAGCTTTCAAAACAACAGGAGTAAGTAGGTTAAATTGTAATTTTTAGGGTCATCTGTTTGCCTTTAATCTTTTATCAATTTAGTCTTCTTTCTCCCCAGCTTTATAATAAACATTTTCAGCAACTCACTTATGCCAAATTTAGCATTCTACTTTCATATAACCATTATTTTGAAACCAGCTATAAAACTTGAAGGACTTAGCGTGTTTCTTTTTAAGTAAAAATTGTAAAAGTAATAAGCCTTGTAGAAGCCTTCCCAGAATGTGCTTCTTTATTCCCTGTACCAAATGTTTTGGGTAAATAACTTCCCCATTGCTTTAAACTTTAGAAAATGTTCTGAAGTTTGGTCACTCTGGCAACTCAGTCTCCAAAATAATCATCTAATCCATATGATAACCATGGTCCAGATTTTCCACATAGTACCACAGTAAAATTTTCTCTGAAAGCTGGTGTATTTGCTTTATATTGACCAATAATTTAAAGCACATTTTATGCCTGCCTTTCTTTAACATCACCATTTCTCAAAGAGTTGTAAGTTATTCAAAATGCCACCCTAACCAAATGGACTCCTACTATTTAAAATCAGCTTTTTTATGCACAGATCTAGTCACTGGACTAGAGCCCCTGCAGAATCACTAGGAAAGCTGGCAGCCTGGGCACGCCATGCCCGGATCTTCATCCTCTGTGCCCACCCTCCTGCTAGGCTGCTCTGTGAAAATGTTTCGAAGTGGTACCTCTGAGCGTGTGTCTGTTGTGTGTGTCCTCCCCAAGTAGAGCGCAAGTCGCATTGTGACCGTGAGGCTTGCTTCTGTTCTCTGGAAGCCTCCAGAGTGATCAGCACTGTTCCTGCTGCACTGTGTATTCCACACGGTGCGTGGAGTGGTGTCTGCAACCCCAGGCTTTGTGAATGGCACGCACGCTAAAACCATTTTAAAACCCAAAATGAAATGCCAATTCTGTGCATTTTTATAGCTTGCTTTTGACCATCAGGCAAGAGAATTAATTCCATTTTGCTTTTAATTGGCACAAGGCAGACATTCTGGCTGATTTTAGTTGAAGCACAGATAAACTTTAGCTCACCCTTCCTTCTGCATTCCCCAGTACTCTCAGAGCTTGTTGCAGTTATAAAGTTGTTTTTCAGGGAGGTAAATGGAGATATTTAAATATCTTTGGTGCAACTGTGATTTTTCTTGATCAAAGTGAAGGAAGTGTTCCCTCTCCCCAGGCTCTTAGATGAATCAGCAGTAAAATAGCAGTGCAATTTGCAATGTGATCTAAAACCCGGCCTGGGAAGAACTCGAAAGGTTGGGCACTGGCTGGGAATGAGCTTCTGCCAGCAACGGAGTGGAGATCCCGTGTGCTGGAGACCAAGTATGTGCTAGAGCTTAGCCTCTCTCCATTTGCGCACTGAAAGAACAGGAAAGCACAGAACCGGGGCTCCGTGGCTTTGCTTCTCTTCTTTCTTTTCTGTCATTGTCACTTTCTGGGTTGCTAGGCTTGTGGATTGATGTCTAACACTGCCCATTGTGTATTTGTAATTTGCGTTTTGTAATTAAGAGGAACAATGGGAGTCCATGGGGTCTCGTTATATATAATGGTTGGTTTAATTTGTTTCACTTCTATCTTGTTAATTGTAAATTGATCATTAAGATTTGAATTCTAATCTGTCACCAGGGTTGTGAGTATTGAAGCTAGAGCAATGATCCTGGTTTTAATCACTGATGATGAGAAACAAATTTTATAATTTTGCTACATATTGCAGTTCATATATTTTAACACTGTATTTTATGGTGTTATAAATATTGTTAAATGACTTTTAGTGTAGTTTTACTGTGTGGACTATAATGTATAAATTATATTACTGTTTTGGCAACAGTAGGTATCCAACTGTGTGAGTTTAATTGAAGTAAAGAATACACACCCGGTTGAACTATATTTTTTCCCCTGCATTTTTAGATGATGTTACGTTGGGACAAAAATTATTTTCTATAAGATGGCTTATATTGGCCTTCTGCTAATTGTTACCAAAAGTCAAACCAGAATCTAAAAGAGTTAAAAATTAAGGTGTCAAATTTTTGCTTTTAAAAGCAGTTATCTTGTGGGAGTTGTGTAATAATAAACTTGTCATTGAAAAAAAAAAAAGCAGTTATCATTATAATCCGAATTACAGTAGTAATGCATCTTCTATTTCATGCAAATGCAATTACACAATGTGACTGTTATAGAAAAATGCGGGGGAAAGTCCATGATTCTGTAAAGCCAGAAATTACCTAAATTTTCTATGAAAATGGATAAGAGTTAGTTATATGAACTAAGACAATCGTGCCACAAATATATCTCAAAACTAACATAGAAAGTTGTAAGTTTGTATATGTATTTTTTTAAATTTACAAATCATAATTCTGACTATATCTTGAGCTCTACAGAGCTAAAGGGCAATGTTTATACACATGTAACAAACTTTAGTGGTCAAAATGGTAGTTAGTAAGAAAATTATAACTATAAATAAAGAAAAATATGCAGAGCAGAAAAAGATTGCTACAGTAACACATGTTATAGTAATACACACTTTAGAAATAGCACTCATATTTTTGATTATGTGAGACATCTTCAAGATTGGGAACTAGGAAAATACAAAGAATTAAGGAAAAAAATTCCGGTGGTGTTACTGTTCAGAGATAACTATTGTTACCTTTTAACACATTTCTTTTGAGTCATTTTCTGTGTGTATGTAAATTTATTATGTGCACAGACATTTATATTATGATTGAGATTATGATAAATGCAGTTTTGCATCTGCTTTTTACTTAATATCTCATTAATGACCATTTTTCTACATCAGTAAACACTCTGGAAACAAAACTTAATTGAATCATCTATTTCCAGTTTTTAACTTTTATGAACAGTATGACAATCATTGTACAAAATTCTGAATTTTTGTTAATTCCTTTAGTAAAAAAGTCTCAAAGAGGATTGCTTATCTAAAGATTATGAATCCTTTTAAGGGTATTATTGTGTGTTACTTAAGTATTATACTAAATTCTGTTCACTATATATGTATTCATATCAGTATGTGACATTAGAAAGAGAGTTGTGTTTTTTTTTGGTTTTTTTTTTTGTTTGTTTTTTAAGTGAGAGGCAGTATTGCGCAGTGGGTAAACTGCACCTTTAGAGTTGGAAAGACTAGCTTATCACCATTTGGGTCACCTTAGGCAAATTATTGAGCTTCATATTGATATCACAGAGAAAAGGAAATGAACAATTATCTTCTCAGTAAACTGAGCTGATTAAAAGATGGATTCTACTATTTGGTATAGAGTAAGCATGTAAAAATTATCTGGTTTTATGATGCATACGTTTGAATAATATTGAAACTAAATATTTTACAAATATTTATTGACCCCTTCTGTTTCTTCTTCTGCAGATCTTTTTCATGTCCTTTGTACTTTCCTGAATTATAATTATATTGCCGTGATATTAGTAGTTTAATGATGCTTGCCATTTTGTTTGTCTTATTTTTGGTAAATACTTTCCTAATTATTTTCTTAAAATTAACATCTCTAAATTTAGAACAGCTTCAAGTTCACATCCCAACCAACTTCCTCACCTCTCAATATTTATATTTTTCCTTGTATTAAATTTTTTAAAATAAAAATAACTTTTTAAATGTGTCCATGATAAGAATTCATAAAATATGAAAAGGGCAAATATTGCTGACTATACTATCCAGAAATAATCAATATTACTATTTGATGTGCATGTTAAAAATATTCAAATTATTAAATGGGATTATATACATGCTAATTTTTAATGTTTTTCCTTTCTCAACAGTGCCATATTTTAGGCCAATAAGCTACAGTAATAAATAGCCTTATAATCATAGTACTATCTTGGTTTCCCAGTATAAAAGTCATCTAATCGGTTTCCTATTGATAGATTTCTGAGTTAACTTTCCAGATACTCAGTTGCAAAGCAAACTTTTTTTTTGTAGAAACAGTACTATAATATATATCCTACACAAATCTAAGCTTTTTCAAATAATATGTAAGATTTTTAATGTGCGAAAGTTTTATATTTCCATATTGTTGAATCTTTTTTCTTTTGTGATTTTTTTCCTTTAGAAAACACATACTTGCGTGCAGAGTTGCTGACAACAAATAAATGTTCTGTGCTTTTTCCTTCTCTTGCTTAAGAGTATCATTTCTTCTTTTAGAATTTATTTTAATGTATAATTTAATAAAGATATTAATTTTGGAAGGAGTGCTAACTTAAATTTTTATTATACCTACTTCTAAATTATTTTACATTATATGTGACTTTTAAAGGCAAAACAAATTATTGATTCAAAGAGAATATTTCAAATACGAGTAAATTCTTATTTAGAAAAACAAATGTAGATGGGTACTTGATCTGACCTGAAAAATGAGATAAGCTATGTTCTCACTTAATATCTAGTAAGAAACATGAGAGTTAGAGCACAGTTCAAAAGAATAAATTATAAACTAATGTATGCATACAGGTATAATGTATGCATAGAGGTAGTTTCAAAAAATGTGCTGACATATTGAGAACTGCAAGATATTAATCTGTACAAACTTCCTGCGGGATGACACTTGAAAGGAGATAAAAACAAAATGAGGGATGAGGTGAGAGTGCTTCATTCATGTGAGCACTTGCTCTTCGGGTAAGATTTCCCTTAGCAAATCCAAATCCTTTACTGACAGGAAAAAGACAAATATTACTTAATAGAAAAATCTTTCCTTGGGAGGATATCAATTTTACATCAAAAGTCTATAAACTTGAAGAAATAAGCTAATCATTAACCTAGACGCTATTGATAATACAAAAGAATTTTAATCCTTTTCTAGCTGTTGAGGCAGTCGGGCATGAGGAGGTGGTAGCAGTGAGTAACAACGGAGAGCTTAATTTTAAAAAATGACAAGGATACAGTTTTTCTTGGGTAGGTATCTTTCTGATCTGCCAATTTGGAGGCTTGGGTTGTCATCTACAACACTGAAAACTTGGTATGTGCCCCAGGGAACATCAGCTATCACCAGCGAGGGTACTTTGATCCCAAATGAAATAGGGGAATGGTACCTGACTCAGCAGAGTAGTGCGAACTAAACTGATCTGCTCTCAATTCCAGAAATACCTGGAAGACAGAGGTAGCATATAAGAGGTGAAGCCATACTTGTGGAGTCAGTCTGCACCTCTTGCAGCCAGATGACCGCTCCTCCTGTACCCAGAAGGCTAGGGCCTTCCTCTCTGAAGAGGTTAAGCCGGGGGGCTTTGGCTACAGTAGGGGCACAGAAATTAGAATAGAGGTTGTAAGAGAAAGTTTGCACACTGAAAGGTGAGAGTCTCACTCTCTTTTTCCACCTACCAAGGGTCATGGACAATCTAGATTGTACCCAAGAGCAGGTTCATGCTAGAGGATCTTCCTATTGGAAGCAGAATGGCGACAGTAAGAAGAAAGACAATGTTAGGCTGGGGAGATGGCTCAGTAAAATAAGCACTTGCCTGGCAAGCACCAGGATCTGAGTTCAATCCCCAGTTCGGCAAAAAAGAAAAAAGAAACGACAGTGATGTTTGGGCAGTCTCCTACTAGAAGAGATGACTTCCTACTCAGCCACCCCCTAATTTGGAGAAAATAAATGTACACAGTGCAAATAAATTACTAGGATAGCAAGAACCAGTATTAAAGTAGTCATAATAATGTAAATACTAATGCTAATTGAACCTCAGCTGAAAGTCTAGAAATTACACTAAAAGCTGGAGAAGGAAAAAGAGCAAGGAGGCATGTAAAATAAAATGAATCTTCATCTACCATAATAAGTCAATAGATATTTCTTAATTAATGGAACAAGAATTAGTGGTCTGAACACATCTAGAAATGTGGAAGTCAATGTCAGAAGAAAAAGTTTTTCCAAAACTGATAGCATTGTCACGTCTTAGCTTGATTTTGAAGAGTCACAAGACAAAAGACTGTTGTTTTTCATGATCGAATTTGTATTATCCGGGGTTTTCTAGAGAAACAGAAAAAAAGTGAACTATTGACTGATTGTTTTGAGACCTGAATTGATCATGATCTAGAGCATTCAATACTTAGAGGAGGAGAAGAAAGGGAAAGAAAGAAGAAAGAAAAAAAATAAGTAAAGTAAAAGAATTTATTGTGAGATATTGGCTTCTGCCTCTGTGAGAGCTCAGTAAGCCTGGAGAACCCAGGAGGAGTTGTGGCCCAAGTGTAGAAGCAGCTGGCTGGCAGGATTCCTTCTTGCTCCGAGGCAGCCTTTGTTCTGTTAAGCCTTCAGTGGCCTGAAGAAGTCCTGTCCACATCATGAAGTATCATCTATTTTACTCAAAATCCACTGCTTTAAATGTGAACCTCATCCATAAAACACCTTCACAGAAACATCCAGAATAATGCTTGGCCAAACATCTGGGCACTGCAGTGCGGCCAAGTTGATACATAAAATTAACTATCACAGAACTATTTGATATTCAACCATATGCCATTAAATTGGCTATGTTAACTAAAAGAAACTCTGCTATAGAAATGAGGCCTGGGACTGTTTCTTCAACAGCTTGATGGCTGGCCTATAGTAAGCACTCGGTAAATATTTGTTAAATGAATGATGGTCTTTGTAAAAATAGTTGATCATTATAATTTTTGAATTGTTTTTTAGGGGAAGCATTTCTATCAGAGCACGTTATTTGTTTATTTTTTCAAGCACTTGAGTTGCTACTAGATTCTCTGGAGTTTCTGAAAATTTTACATAAAATAATTTTCTTATGCTAATGTGTTTAAGCCTGACGTTTAAGAAAGGGTTATATAATAAAGACAAGCTCTAGTTGTAAGAACTTTTAATGCTTGTTATTTCTGTGTTTTAACCTCTCTAGATCTGAAATAGCTCTGCTGAGTCAGGAAAAAATGTATACAGATCATAAACTGGAGAAGTTACAGAGGAGAAATAATGAATTGGAGGAGCAGTGTGTCCAGCATGGGAGAGTGCATGAGACAATGAAGGAGAGGTAATAAAGCTGTACCGATCAACTGAGATGTCATATATTGAATGTGCTTGATTCACCACAAGAGAATTGCTACATAATTAGTAGAAATTGGGATCATTATGCACTCCAGGGATATGCGCAAAATCTAATGCTTTTGTGTATTTATACTTCCTCAATGTAGCTTGTTCTTATTATATGTGGAGAAGAGAGAATGATTCATTTTTACTAAAGACATAAAATTAGATTTAACATGGAATAGTGGAGGGATGCCATCTACCTCTGAGGTATAAGTTGGTAGTATTGTAGTATAGGAGAATTTCACTATTTTTATTCTATGAACTGGATTTTATGTGGTTTTTTGTAAGATAAAACATACAGTAGACTTAAAGAGATTAAATATTTCATCAGCGATTACTAAAGTCAAGATTTGACTCCAAATTCTTTGCCTCTTTCTTATGGTGTCACTTTGAACAAGTCTCCCAACCTGTCTGAGCATGTTTCTTCAGCCATATATTCATGCTTGTAATGCTCATTTTGATCTAAAGATCAAGTAAAAGCACCTGTTAAATGTCATCTCCTAAATAATAACCACCTACTAAATGTCATTAAGCAACTATTACTTGCTTCTCTGGATTTAAAAAACTCAGAAACAGAGACTAATAGTATTCTCAAAGTTGCAGAGG